GAAGCTTCCAAAGCCATGACATCATCATCTGGGCTTTACCAAACAGTTTGAAGGTATAGTAATCTTAGTGGATGTAAACGTCTGACTTTGAAGAAAGTTGTAAAAATTCTCTAAACACTTCTCTCTCTCATTATTCTGGCGTTTAGCAAACTGATTTAATGTCAGACACTGAGGGGGAAAAAAGGTTATATGTCTTTTTTTTACAATGTATGTAAACTTCTGGTTTCAGCTCTATTTGTCAAGCAATTCTGAAGCAAACTTTTGAAATGTACCCAAAAAACAAACAGTGAATTATGCTTTCTGCCTCTGAATTAATCACGTGTGATGAGCAGTTCAGCAGGAAATTAACTAAATCTAAGCTTAAAATCAAGATATTTGAAGAAAATCGCTTTATTCTATCTACGTCCTATAAAAAAATTGCTAAAAATTAAATTATTTGTTCTAAGCAGTTTCTGCAAAAACAAACAATTCTGCACATCTTGGTGCAGCCATTGTTTTTTCTATAACATCATGCAACACTTGCACATAAAAACACATCATGGTAACACAGCTGTTGAGGGTTTCTGCTCACATGCATGAAAACCTGGAGTCAAAAACTGGTGCTTTGGCTGTAAGAAACAAAAACAGTCTCCATCCAACAGCTCAGTTTAACCACCAAGCAGAAAACTAAACAGACCTCGTACTTTGCATAAACTTTCAGTTTATTTAAATGAAAATGATTCAGTTCAACATTTATGCTGAATGTCTATTCTTTGCCATTTCTCATGAACACATATATTCAGTTGTTTTTTTGTTTTTTGTTTTTTTACTTAATAACGTAAAAGTTTTGACAATAACAAGGCAAAAACTGTTACAACAATAAACAAAAGTGCATATAGAAAGTGGCATCAGCTTTTCGCCGCCTGCTGGTCCCAACAAATGTAGTGACCAGCCGAGGCTTAAGGCGATAACAAACGTAGGAATAACTTAAAGTGCAATGCCAACAGCTGCAGCGTGCTGCCTCAGACTGACTCGGACGTACCCGACTCTTTCTAAAGAGTCAACTTCTTCCACAACATACTTGACTAATATTATTTTTCTTCCAGTAATTTTGCTCCCAAACGGTAAATTAAATGTGCTGGTGGTCATTTAGGAAATTATTGCTTCATTAAGAAGATTTGAAAGCAAAAGAACTAAGGCTCCAAGTACCGCAATACACCCCCATCATTTAGACTACGCGTTACAGCCACAACATTAAAACCACTGACAGTGAAAAAATGTGATTATTTCATTGCAATGCAACATTCTGCTGAGGACGCCTGGGTCGTGCATGAATGCAGACGTTATTCTGACCTGTACCTAAGCATTGTTGCAGAATTTTCAGCAGGATAATGCTTCCTGCCACACTGCAGGCATTGTTCTGGTCCATAATTAGGAGGTCAGGGTGTTACTCGGCCTCTAAACTCCCCAAATCTCAATCCGATTGAGCATTTGTGGAATCTGTTTGCAGCAGATCCTTTAAGTCCTGGACATCGTGAATGTGTTGGTGCCTGACACCACTGGACGCCTTCAGTGGTGACCAGCTACAGAACATTAAGCAGGTGGTTTTAATGTTATGGTGTATAAAGGATTTAAATTAATCATTTATTTTCTACAAGAGTGGAACACATGGGCAAAAAGTCTCCCAGCTCCTCCTCCTTCCAAGTCTGTGGTCACTCATGTTTCCTGTTGTTTTACTGGTTGTTTCTCTGGCTGAGTCTTTAAGCAATTTCTCATTATTGGTATTAAGAGAAATTAGTGTTAAATAATTCTTGGTGGCACAGCACCCATTAGGAAGAATAAATAATAACTAATTTTAATGTCAAACTTTGCTGACTATGAAATGAGCTTTGTAGCTGGTGGGATGTTGCACGTGCGCCCCCTATTGACCGGCTGCTATTACTTCTAACTTATAATATACAAGAATTCCAAATAATGTCAACAACAAAAAACAGAGCTCCAAGTTGTAGAAAAATAACTCGGAGTCTCTGCTGCAGGTTTTCCCAACAAACTTACAGTTTCACAACAAACCCTCCAACTGTAATTTGCATTTCTATCCTAGGTGGAACCGCATGTGTCTGTTTAAGCTTCCCTGTTGGGTAAATCCTTGACCGCAAACAGCACAACAAAATGGTTTCTCTCCCGTGTGAACTGTGCTGTGCGTCTCCAGATGTGTTTTGCGGTTAAATCTTTTACCACAAACATCGCAACTGTACGGTTTCTCTCCCGAATGGACCATCATGTGTGCCCTAAGATGTGTTTTTCGGTTAAATCTTTTACCGCAGATGTCGCAGCTGTACGGTTTCTCTCCTGTGTGTACTACCATGTGCGTTCTAAGATGTGATTTACGGTTAAATCTTCTGCCGCAGCTATCACAACCAAATGGCTTCTCTCCTGTGTGGATCATCATGTGCACCTTAAGATTATTTTGATGCCGAGCTCTTTTGCCGCAAATGTCACAAACAAATGGTTTCTCTCCTGTGTGGATTCTCATGTGTGTCTTAAGGTTATTCTGATGCCGAGATCTTTTACCACAAATATTGCAAACAAAAGGTTTCTCTCCGGTGTGGATTCTCATGTGTGTCTTTAAATTTTGCTGGTGTGTAAATCTTTTTCCACACATGTCACAACCAAATGGTTTCTCTACTGTGTGAACTCTCATGTGCCCATCTACATTTTCACTATTTACGCCTGACTCTGGCATCCTGTCGTCAGTTTCAGGTGTACAATCTGACAAAGGCTCCTGCCAATAGTCCTCATTTTCGTCACTATCGTCAGTCTCAGAAGTGTCTGAAGGATTTCCGTCAGCATTTGGTTGTAAATGACGATTTGCATCTGGGTTCCAGGCTGTTTCTGGCACTCCCCAGTCCTCTTCATCGCTTTCAGTTTTTATCCATTTAGTTGAGCTGCTGGTTGCCTCTCCGTGGTCTGAAGTTTGGCTCTGATGAAGCTGTGAGGACTGCGGTGTGTCTTCATCGTCTTCGTCGTCTTCACTCTTCACAGGTCCACCAGTGAATGTAAAGCTGGTGAAATCAGTCTCCAGCAGCCCATTAAGCCGCTCTCTTTCCTCACTGGTCCACAGGTCCTCCTGTTCCTCCTGTTCATGGAGGAGCTCTTGTTCTTGGTCCAGACTGGGGCTCCAGGGAACCTCTTCTTTTATCACCAACACCTCTTGGACATCTGCAGGCAACACTGAGACACAGATGAAAGACAACTGTGACTTAACATTTCATTTTAATTTTATTTTATTCAAAACACCAACATGCTACGCTGCTTTGCAAATGCTACAATAGAGGATAACATCACAATATTTCCTTGCATGTCTGTTGAAGTGCAGGGTTGGACTGCAAGCAGAGTTTCTGAGTGGGGTAGGCTGTTCCACAAGCCGTACAAGCTTCGGCCTTGAGCCTGCAAGACAGCTAAGTGGCAAAAGTTTGAAAAGGAGGTGGAAGAACCAACAAAATTGCATTAGAAAATGGATAGAAATGGCCTTTTCCTAAGTGGCCTTTATTGCTGTTGTAAAATGCTCTATAAATACACATCCCTGAAGATTAACGTCACTGGCCCAAACAAATGCCTTCAAAATGTCAGACCATTTGGTGAATTTGGACTTATTGTGTGCTAAGCATGGATGAGCAGTGGAAATAAAAGGACAGGACACAGAAGGAAGAACTGACAAGCCGGAAGTGAACAGACAGACGAGTGGGAGCTGGTGTGCCGAGAATGACTTGGCTATTGATTTTAAAATGATCACCAAAAATCCCCAAAAAACAGTTTTAAGCAACACAGCACGGATCCAATCCTGGCCAATCAAGGCATCCCTTTATAGACAAAACATCCCAACAACAAACTTCAACTGAGACGGGCTTTCAGAAAATCAAGCAGGCACTGAATCCAAACAGACCTGAGGAGTTTGTCCATACCACCTGGATTTGTGACGCAGAGCTAAAGAAGGTCAAAACATTTATCACCGGCCAGAACAAGACCAGTCAGAAATACGCAACAGTGTCATTCAGCCAGCGCACAAAGAACCAGAGAGATGCCTGTAAAAGAAACAAAGAGGGTCGACAAGGATTAACAGCTGAAACCAGAAGTTTACATACGATGGAGAAAAAGACACAAAACCTTTTGTTCCTCGCTGTCTGACATTAAATCAGACTAAACTTTTCCTGTTTTAGGTCAGTCAGGATGAGCAACATTATTTATATTTGCTAAACGCCAGAATAATGAGAGAGAGATTTTTTTATTGCTTTCTTCAAAGTCAGACGTTTCCATTCACTACGATGCCTTCAGACTGTTTGGTAAAGCCCAGATGATGATGTCATGGCTTTGGAAGCTTCTGATAGGTTCATCGACAACATGTGAGGCACACCTGTGGATGTATTTTAAGGCACACCTCAAACACAGCAATTCCTTTTGTGACAACATGGAAAATCCAAAGAAATCAGCCAAGATATCAGGAGGAGAACTGTGGACCTCCACTAGTCTGGTTCATCCTTGGGTACAGTTTCCAGATGTTCCACGTTCATCTGTTCAGACAATTATATGCAAGTATAACCACCATGGGAATGTCCAGCCATCATAGGCTCAGGAAGGAGGCAGGTTTTCCCAATGGGCCTTATTTGGAATGTATATTTTTAAAAGAGACTGTGCCTGCTGCTCTCCTTTTCCTTTATAAATGAATCCCAATGACTATAACCACTAGAACTAATAATCCTGTTTTGACACATCTTATTAAACTATGGCATGAGGTGCGCAAATGTCTTGGACTAGAAACTGGTCTCTCACCCAAAACACCTCTGAGACAGAACAAATTCATACCCATGATTCTGGATAACTGGATTCTGGATGTGTGGCATCAGAGAGGAATTCACTACTTGGAGGACTGTGACAATATCGGATCTCTGATGTCTTCTGAGGATCTGAGGAGGACGTACGACTTGTCCAGAAAACCTTTTTTGTTATCTTCAAGTAAGATCCTTTCTAAGAACAACTTTGGGACCTAAAATGACTTCACCTGTTCTCAGTGGTACAGAAAAACTGCTTCATGAGGGAAACGTATCAGGCTTCATCTCTCAAGTGTGTGTTCTGTTGATGGAGGGAACGTCAAAATTAGGGTTGCACAAATCTAGACGGGAGACTGACTAGAATATAACGACTGATGCAGAGCTTTGGTCAGAGTTCTGTCAAAGAAGCTTGTCTGCCACTACTTATGCAAGACACAGATTGATCCATTCTAACTTTCTTCACCAACAATTACGCCACAGAGATTGCATAAATGTAAAACCGAGCTATCAGGCACGTTTAGATGTGGTACAGAGGAGGGCTCATTTCTGCATTGCACCTGGTCATGTACGAAGCTTAGAGTGCTTTTTAGCATGACTTTAGTGACATTATGACAAAACGTGCAAGATTTGCCTTGAAGTAGTTTTGTGCACTGCCAGAAAGTGCACAGCAGTGACATGGAAGTCTGATTATTGTGTTTATTCTGTGTTTTGTCTACGTTTTCTTAAATTGGAAAAATTAAAAAATGATATATTCCAAATAATTTTTTTTTTAAAAAGGGAGGAAACAGGTTCTGTGTCCAAGAGATTAACATGTTTTGATGCAAAATGTGCGTATCAACCCGTGGACAAAAGGAAAAGACCTTGTGAAGATGCTGCTGAAGCTATAAGATGAGAGAGAGTCATTCTCCACAGTGGAACCAGTCCTGTACCGACATGGGCTGGAAGGCTGCTCAGAGAGGAAGAAGACATCACTCCAGAAGAACCATAGAAAAGACAGATTATAGTCTGTAGATGCACACAGGGACAAAGAGCTTCATCAGTGGAGACATGTCCTGTGGTCTGATGGAACTAAACCTGAACTGTTTGGCCTTAATGACCATCATTACATTTGGAGGAAAAAGATGGAAGCCTGCAAGCCTGAGAACACCATCCCAACTGTGAAGTGTGGGGGTGGCAGCATCATGCTGTGGGGGTGTTCTGCTGCAGGAGGGACTGGTGCACTTCACACAATAAATGGCATCATGAGGAAAGAACATGATGTAGAAATACTGAATCAACATCTCCAGACATCAGCAGGAAGTTACAGCTTGGACACTAATGGGTCTTCAGATGGACAATGACCCTCAGCATAGCTCCAGATTAGCTACAGAGAGGCTTCAGGACAACAGAGTCAGTGTTGTGGAGTGGCAAAGCCCTGATCTCCATCCTGGAGAACATCAGTGGAGCAAGGAGACCAACAAACCTGGCCCAGTTCCACCAGTTCTGTCAGGAGGAATGGGCCAGAACTCATCAGACTGTTGTGAAAAGCTTGTGGAAGGAAACCCAGAACGTTTGACCCAAAGTCATAGAGTTTAAAGGCAACGCTAGCAGATACTGAGGACATGGATGGAAGCTTCTGACTGATAATGTTGGTGATCCTGACTGACGTGAAACAGGAAAAGTTTCGTCTGATTTAAGGTCAGACAGTGAGAAATAAAAACCTTGTTATGTGTCTTTTTACACAGTGGATGTAAACTTCTGGTTTCAACTGTGTGTTTGAAGAGCAGAGAACCTGCTGGGTCCTGTTGGATAAATACCTCCCAACCAGCCTTTGGTCTTCTTTTAAAACAGACGACACCAAAGACCTGTGGTGAGGTAATGATGCAACTTTAGCTAACTTTCATATTTTTCTTTGTAGACTGTTGTGCTCACCTTCCTTTGGTCACGGGAGCCCAGAGGCTGCAGGTGGTTCATATAATGGAACTGCTGCATCGTGGGAATGTGTTTTCATTTGTCTATAATCAGGTATAATAGAGAAACTACTGGGTGAACATCTTTGACGACAGGTCGCCACAGATCTACACCAACCACAACCGCCCGAAAAAGAACAAGTAGAATTACAGAAAAGACGGTAAAATCATAAAGGCCAGAAGTAATAATAATAATAACTAAAATATAAAGAGATAAATAAATAAAGGGTGAAAGAGAATAAAATGAAGACATAAAATAAAAACAGGTGATTATTAGTATTAGTGTGTGTACGTCAGATAATTAATAACCTTCCTGGTAAAGTCAATAAGCCAGTTTAAATAAAAGTGTAATTTACACAGAACCTTGTCATACACAGAGGTTCTTTAAAATGCTTTACAGGCAAATTAAAGAAAAATAAATAAATGATTAATCAAAAACGCTGCAGACAAACTGGACAAAGAGATTTGCAGAAAAATTACAACTGATTGACGAAATCAGGCAAAAAAAGACAAGAGATGAGAAAAATAAAAGCATGCAATAGAAAATAGAAATACTAAGGACATTGAAATACATCAGCATGTGACTGATTCACTTTGCTCTACGCTACAACAGTTTAATTTAATTCCTGGCTTTCACTTTGGGGCTTTTCTGTCACATTTTTTTCACCCCATTGAAGAATCACTGCAGGTTGAACTGACTGTGTTTGGCTTATTTTTAGCCTTTTTTTCATGTTACTTTTGGCCACAATTTTCACTGAATACGTTGAAATCTTCAGCAGCTGCAAACATCTGGAGCTCAGAGGAGAACAATCCCCAGATACCATCATCATCACCTCGTAAACTCCTACCTGCAGCCTCACCTCCCCTCACCCCTCCTCACCCAGCAGCAGCTAGCAGTTAGCACTTCCACTCTCATTCTTCTTACCGGCGCTTCGCTTCAGAACAACGTCCTGCGGCTCGTGGAGGCGTTTCATCGGCACTTTCTCCTCCAAACACACACTCTGAGTCCGCTGCTGCTGGACAGATTCGTCCATGGTGTCCGCTCTGCTTCTCTTCTTCAAAACTAATAACCGGAGGCGAGTCTCGGAGGAGCCGCGCCTGCGCAGAATCCATCACCGCCGACGGCAGCACGGTGCATGCCGGGAGTTTTTTCTGTCAGAGTTGTTCGTGAATGTAATGAAACAGCTGATGGAGACGAAAACAGTGAGACCTTTATGCTTTTATAGCAGATTTATTGTCGCGTCTGTTGTGTTTTAATCAGGCATCTGCGCAGACGCCTATATTCTCCTTTGGTCACCATAGCAACCACAGCCTCCATGTGTTTGTCATTAACACTGTACATACTTGTGCCAAAAGCAGCAAACTGACAAAGAAAAACCAGAAATAATCAACAGACTAATATAATAATATAACGTAAAGTAACATTATCATCTGTTTGTGAGCTTTTGAGGACGTT